GTGAGGCTTCTAGGCACCGTCGGCGTCTGAGGTCTGGTTCGGTGAGAACGAGTTGTGCCTCGTTCCAGTTCATCAAATGCCCCGTGGAGTCTCTGTGGAGGACACAGGCGTACCTTACATCGTCTCTGTTAGAGGCATTTCGATGCTCATTCAAGCGGACTGCAAGATCTCTGCCTGTCTCGCCTACATATTTCTTGGGACAGAACCCACAGGGGATAGTGTAGACGCCTGCTGTAGAAGTTAGAGGTGTGGGGCTGTGTTTCGTAGTGAGGTCTTTGATAGATGATGTGTTTATGGTGGAAACGTTGATGTTACTCATAGCAAGTGCCCGGCGAGTATTCGTGGCAACATCACCACATGGGCAGACTTAAGGCACAAGCTATTCTCAACAAACCGCCCATGGAACAGCCCCCTAAGCAGTTCATAGTACTCCCATGTGGTGATGTTGCCACGAATACTCGCCGGGCACTTGCTATGAGTAACATCAACGTTTCCACCATAAACACATCATCTATCAAAGACCTCACTACGAAACACAGCCCCACACCTCTAACTTCTACAGCAGGCGTCTACACTATCCCCTGTGGGTTCTGTCCCAAGAAATATGTAGGCGAGACAGGCAGAGATCTTGCAGTCCGCCTGAATGAGCATCAAAATGTGTACGAATGGTATATAATACCGACAAGATGAGATTAAGACACATGTGCAACATCTGGGTATCTTTATTGTAGACGTTTCGCCATCCAGTGGCTTTATCAATACAAATTCTAGGACATAACTTGAAGACAGTAGAACTATGTACAGAAGATGAGGTAATCAGTCCCTCAACCTAGGAGTAGGTGCGAAGAGCACCATAGTCGTGGTTGAGGGACTGATTACCTCATCTTCTGTACATAGTTCTACTGTCTTCAAGTTATGTCCTAGAATTTGTATTGATAAAGCCACTGGATGGCGAAACTTCTACAATAAAGATACCCAGATGTTGCACATGTGTCTTAATCTCAGCATCAAAATGCCTCTAACAGAGACGATGTAAGGTACGTCTGTGTCCTCCACAGAGACTCCACGGGGCATTTTATGAACTGGAATGAGGCACAACTCGTTCTCACCGAACCAGACCTCAGACGCCGACGGTGCCTAGAAGCCTCACTAATCGCCGTCACCGACACTATAGAACGCAACACTGGAAACTACAAAATGTCAAAAACATTGGCATATATGATACTTAAGCACCACCAACCCAACAACACAGGAGTCACATGATTTCATCGTCTACCCGTCCTCATCATAGGCAGAGGTTGTTTTGATAAGGACCTGCCTCGCATGGGCCAGTAGGCTTTCTACAGTGTTCCTCCATTCTTATGTTCTTATGACATTCCTCAGGTCACGTGCGTCACACCTCACTCTCCGCATATATATATAATGCCTTTCTACCTCTGTATGTTAGAAGTGATCAAGGTCCCAGGACCGAAACGTTTTCTAATAAATATGTCATAGTGTTTGCTTACGTGTCTTTCTAAACCAAAAATTATGCTATTTACTATTGCTGGACACCACCTGTAAGTAGCCATTGTCACGAAATTATAAACTGGCCAGAAAATTATTGCCTTCATTGTCGCATAAATATCCGTTGTGCAATCGCAAAAAAAAAAAAAAAAAAAGCAATTGCAACTTGTATAATTACTACCAATTCAGAGTCATGTACTTATATATCTATCTATGTGACTCTGATGGGTTAGTATTATACCTCATTAAGAATATCTTATCATTTCACATACACTTTTTAAATTACACCAAAGTGGTTGGGCCACTTACCTTTTATATCCTACCTCTCTTCCCCTTCCCACCCTTTTCCAATATTTCCATCCTTACCCATCCTTCTTCCTTCCCCATCTTACCAAAGCTCTGGTCATAAGAAGAAGAAGCAGATCATCCCAACGTATCACAACACCTGAAACCCATGACTTATGTCATCTCCCACCCAAATCTTGCCACACTCAACACCATTGCTAACGAGGAGCTACTAAAAATATCAACCTGGATGACTGCCAATAAGCTTACACTTACCACTGACAAAACCTTCTATATTCTGTTGTGTAACAGAGCAGGTGTTGCACAACTTATTAAGGTCGACAACACTCTTATTTCCAAACATAATGAGGGCAGATTCCTAGGCCTGCACCTTGACAGCAACCTGAAATTCAGCACCCATTTCCAACACAACAAAAGAAGTATCCAAAACGGTTGGAATCCTCTGCAAGATACGCTACTATGTGCCACAATCAGCCCTACTCACACTGTTGATAAATTAGACACATGTGCAACTCATGGGTATCTTTATTGAGGAAACGTTTCGCCACACAGTGGCTTTATCAGTCCATACATAGGAGAAACTTGAAGAACAGGAGGAGAATGAGGTAATCAGTCCCTCAACCTTGAGTCGATGTGTTCAGTCCATCAATCTTGAGTAGAATACGGCAGATGAGCGGAGAAGCAGCTTATAAACCGTATGGCAGGAGAGGTGTAGCAGTCATAGGTAGTGTCACATTTGTTCAATGTGGAAGTAGGTTGTGCCCAAGAATTAGGCAAGCGAAGAATTCCTAAGTAGGAAGGGTAGCAGCAAGGGAGGCAGTAGGATGGGTAGCAGCAAGGGAGACAGTAGGAGGGGTAGCAGCAAGGGACACACTATGAAGGGTAGCAGCAAGGGAGACAGTAGGACTGGTAGCAGGGAGACAGTAGGAATGGCAGCAGCAAGATAGGCAGGAGGGGCAACAGCAAGGGAGACAGTAGGAGGGGTAGCAGCAAGGGAGACAGTAGGAAGGGTAGCAGCAAGGGAGAGAGTATGAGGGGTAGCAGCAAGGGAGACAGTAGGGGGAATCAGCAAGGGAGACAGTAAGAAGGGTAGCAGCAAGGGAGACAGTAGGAGGGGTAGCAGCAAGGGAGACAGTAGGAGGGGTAGCAGCAAGGGAGACAGTAGGAAGGGTAGCAGCAAGGGAGACAGTAGGAAGGGTAGCAGCAAAAGCGACAGTAGGAGGGGTAGCAGCACGGAGACAGTAGGAAGGCTAGCAGAAAGGGAGACAGTAGGAGCGGTAGCAACAAGGGAGACAGTAGGAAGGCTAGCAGCAAGGGAGACAGTATGAGGGGTAGCAGCAAGGGAGACAGTAGGGGGAATCAGCAAGGGAGACAGTAAGAAGGGTAGCAGCAAGGGAGACAGTAGGAGGGGTAGCAGCAAGGGAGACAGTAGGAGGGGTAGCAGCAAGGGAGACAGTAGGAAGGGTAGCAGCAAAAGCGACAGTAGGAGGGGTAGCAGCAAGGGAGACAATAGGAAGGGTAACAACAAGGGAGGCAGTAGGAGGGGTAGCAGCAAGGGAGACAGTAGGAAGGGTAGCAGCAAAGGAGGCAGTAGGAGGGGTAGCAGCAAGGAGACAGTAGGAAGGCTAGCAGCAAGGGAGACAGTAGGAGGGGTAGCAGCAAAGGAGATAGGAGGAGGGGCAGCAGCAAGGGAGACCGTAGGGGTAGAAGCAAGGGAGACTGTAGGAGGGGTGGCAGCAAGGGAGACAGTAGGGGGAATCAGCAAGGGAGACAGTAAGAAGGGTAGCAGCAAGGGAGACAGTAGGAAGGGTAGCAGCAAGGGAGACAGTAGGAAGGGTAGCAGCAAGGGAGACAGTAGGAAGGGTAGCAGCAAGGCAGACAGTAGGAAGGGTAGCAGGGAGACAGTAGGAAGGGTAGCAGCAAGGGAGACAGTAGGAAGGGTAGCAGCAAGGGAGACAGTAGGAAATGTAGCAGCAAGGGAGACAGTAGGAAGGGTAGCAGCAAGGGAGACAGTATGAGGGGTAGCAGCAAGGGAGACAGTAGGGGGAATCAGCAAGGGAGACAGTAAGAAGGGTAGCAGCAAGGGAGACAGTAGGAAGGGTAGCAGCAAGGGAGACAGTAGGAAGGGTAGCAGCAAGGGAGACAGTAGGAAGGGTAGCAGCAAGGCAGACAGTAGGAAGGGTAGCAGGGAGACAGTAGGAAGGGTAGCAGCAAGGGAGACAGTAGGAAGGGTAGCAGCAAGGGAGACAGTAGGAAGGGTAGCAGCAAGGGAGACAGTAGGAAGGGTAGCAGCAAGGGAGACAGTAGGAAGGGTAGCAGCAAGGGAGACAGTAGGAAGGGTAGCAGCAAGGCAGACAGTAGGAAGGGTAGCAGGGAGACAGTAGGAAGGGTAGCAGCAAGGGAGACAGTAGGAAGGGTAGCAGGGAGACAGTAGGAAGGGTAGCAGGGAGACAGTAGGAAGGGTAGCAGCATGGGAGGCTCACAGAAGGATGCAGGACTTTTTGCTTAGCAAATCACTAGCAGATCTTTTTGTTAGTGATGCCAACCAGTTAATTTAAGGGAAAATTCGATAACCACTCATATATATATATTTTAACAACCTGTTTCAGTGATCTGATTCCTGCTTACATGGATGTGGCTAAAATTATTCAGATATAATTTTTAGTTTATAAGTATTTATCTCATGTATGGCACTGGAATGCTAGTTGAGTGAGCGTCCTGGCGCACGATGATGCTGCGCGTCCACTGCTGTGTATCCAAAACATTATTTTTCAAGCATTAAACGCTTATGTTTATGTTGTATCCCAGATTTAAATTTCCAAATACATAAATAAAAATTCAGAAAAGAAGAATGTTAATTTGAGTATATGAGTTAATATGAGTATACGCCACATATTAAAAATGGAGTTCTTAAAGAAGGTCTCTCTGACAGTCCATCCATCAACCTTTGAGGATTGTAAGTGCAGTGGCAGAGCGACGAACTGTCAATCTAGCCACAGACAGATGGCTCTAGTCCTCGAGTACGTCATTCAGACATCCACTCAAAAACAAGTAATCCACATAATGTTTCTATTTATGAGATATGTACGAAACCTCAAGACTAAATGCTTTCATTGAATTCCATGTCTTTATGCATATTTATCAACTTGTAGTCACCATGCACTGAGGAAACAGACTTTGTAACTCACCCCTAAGCTCCTGGTGAGGCCGACGACAGCATGCTTGGTGGCAGCATAGACGGGTCCCAGAGGCGTTGGCTTGAGTCCTGCGATACTAGAGATATTAACCACAACGCCTCCATCACCGCCAAGGTTTATGCCCATCCTCTCCAGCGCCAGCAGTGTTCCCCTCATACACCCTCCCTGGAACACGTGGTATACATATATACTATGAGACTAAAGGTTAAAAGGCTCTTTGATGCTAATAGGAACCATAAAGCTTCAACATGGATAAGCGAAACACCAGCTTCTGAGTAGTATTAAGAGATTCAAAATCTGGGTTTGAACGTATGGCAAGCTTTTCCAAAGTCTAGGAGGCAAGTACTGAAAATTTTCAAACCCCTTATTGGTGCTCAAAGTATAGCAAAACACTTACTAAACAGAATAGCTGTATATTTAATAACGTTATTGTTTCAGTAAAAGTAGCAGAATAAAACAGTGCTGTCAGGGATATTTCATCTCAGTAAGCTTAGCTATAAATGTCAAAAAATTGAGAAATGTTCTCATTTTAGTAGTTTTTCCAATTATTTCAAGTTTCCTTCCTGGCATCTGCCTTGTCAGGAGGCAGGTGTGGAGGTTTCAAGCCACAGCATCAGTCTTGTTTGATGAATGATGTGGGAGACTCGTATCAGGAGAAGAAAGGTATGAGATGTTCATACCCCAACATCTACCTTTATAGGAAGGAGACCTGAGGGCTCAGGGAAAGACTTATGCCCTTGCATATAGACCGTCAGGAGGCAGGAAGCACGTGTCGGGGACTCATGCCCCCATGTGTTGATTCATGCCTCAATACCAACTTTGTCAGGAGATAGGTGTGGGGGACTGTTGCCCAGCGCCCATCATGTCATTAGCGAGCTGTGGGGACCTAAGCACCTGCGCCTGCCTTGTTAGGATGCTAGTTAGGAAACTCATGCCTTGAACCTACCTTCCAGGAAGCAGGTATGGAGAACTCATGTTCTCACACCTCCCTTGTCAAGCAGCAGGTGTTGGTCACTCATGCCTTTACAGTCACATTATCAGGTGTTAGGTATTTGGGGATTTATCCTCTCTCCCTGTGTCATGCTTCACAGGATGAGCTACAAATGTAGAAAAGTAAAATAAACATTTTTCTTACTTTAGTAGCTCTGTTTCAAGTTTTCATCCCCACACCTGCCTTGTCAGGAGGCGGTTGTAGGGGGCTCATTACCCTGCATCCATCATTTCAGACGGAGGAGTTGGAGACTCGTATCAGGAGGTGGGTGTTGGGACAATACATCATAGCACCCACCTTGACTGGAAGTGGGTGCATGGGGGCTAAGGGAAAAACTCATGCACCTGTTGATTGCCAGGAGGTAGGTGAGGGGTGACTCATGCATCCTCATCTGACTTTCAAGATGCAGGTGTGTGGGAGAGTCACATCCCACATCCATCATTCTGGAAGCAGGTGTTGAGGACTCCTGCCCCTGCACCACCATGTTTGAAATTAGTTGAAGGGGACTCGCACCTCCCACACCTGCCTACTTAGGAGGTTACCTGGAGGTTATTCCGGGGATCAACGCCCCCGCGGCCCGGTCCATGACCAGGCCTCCCGATGGATCAGGGCCTGATCAACTAGGCTGTTACTGCTGGCCGCACGCAGTCCGACGTACGAGCCACAGCCCGGCTGATCCGGCACTGACTTTAGGTATCTGTCCAGCTCTCTCTTGAAGGCAGCCAGGGGTTTATTGGCAATTCCCCTAATGCTTGATGGGAGGCTGTTGAACAGTTTTGGGCCCCGGACACTTATGGTGTTTTCTCTTAGTGTATCAATGGCGCCCCTACTTTTTATTGGCGGCATTTTGCATCGCCTGCCCAGTCTTTTACTTTCGTAGGGAGTGATTTCTGTGTGCAGATTTGGGACCATTCCTTCCAAGATTTTCCAAGTGTAGATTATGATATATCTCTCCCTCCTGTGTTCCAACGAGTACAAGTCAAGTGCTTCCAAGCGTTCCCAGTAGTTAAGGTGCTTGACAGAACTTATACGTGCAGTAAAGGATCTCTGAGGTGGGTGTGGAAGACTCCCACACCCGTTTTGTCAGGGTGCACATGTAGGGGACTCATGCTCCAATGCCCTGCTTATCAAGAGGTGGGTATAGGGGAAATCATGCCCCCATGGCCTTGTCAGGAAAGTGGTGTGAGGGAGTTGTATCCACACTCCACTATCATGAATTAGATGTGAAGGACTTATGTGCCACACCTGCCTTGTTATGAAGTGGCGTTGGAAACTTCTGCACCTGTTTTGTCAGGCTGTGCATGCAGAGGACTAACACCACACTGCCCATCTTAACAGGAAGTTGGTATAAGAGACTGACACCACGCTGCCCACCTTAACAGGAGGCTGATATAGTGGAATTAGACTCTTGCATCCAGTCATCAGGAGTTAAGTATGGGGGTCTCCCACACCCTGCCCCCAGCTTATCAGAAGGCAGGTGTTGAAAACACCTTCATTATCACCTTATCAGATGTGTATCTTAATTTTAGGTTCAAAGAAATATATGAATCTTTTCAATTAGGCTAAGTTTTTAAATGCAAATTCTTACAATAAAAAAAATTCCACTTAAGTGGTGTGCCCTCAAATAAATATTCTGGAATACGTTTTGGAAATCAATAATAAAATAAGCTTTAACCTGATGTACTACTCAAACTTGTCAACTAAGAAGTGCTGCTCCCTAAATTGTTTAGTTAAATTGTGGGTGAACCTGCAGGTAATTGCAATAGAATTTCTGTCAGTGGATTCCTACTTGAAGGAAATCTGAGAAGGACAATGTAATATGTCTGAATGATAATGTGTAGAATGATAGCTCTAGGCCTTTCGTGTTGCAATCAATACATCATCAGGAGCTTGCAAACTTGCAGAAAAGAGGAGGATGTCCAAGCAAATACGATCCCTAAGGAAGTCTTCACTGGAGTGAGGGAGAGAGAGAGAGAGAGAGAGAGAGAGAGAGAGAGAGAGAGAGAGAAAGGGGACAGGATGTGCCCCTAGTACCCAATGATAGAAGCTTGAATATTATAGCATTAGAAAAATCGCACAAGCATTGATAATGTAATGACAGCCTAAACGAAAGTAACTTGCCAATTATAAAAAATTTGGTGAGACTCCACTATAAGTAATTTTACATACATTGCCAGTGATATAGAAGTCACTGGCAATTATGGAGAAACCGTCCACGAGAAAACGGCTCCGTGGATAGTTACTCCATAGTTACCAGTGACTTCTCTATCACTGGAGCTTTCGTGACTTCTCACATTATCAATATAATGTGAGAAGTCAAGAAAGCACTTAGAATTTCACTAGTTTTTTCACCGGGGTTGTTCGGCGCGCGCACACACACACACACACACATATATATATATATATATATATATATATATATATATATTATATATATATATATATAATATATATATATATATATATATATATATATATCTTGGTCGATAAAAGACTGTTGAGTAGACTTCAGGATGTACATGTTTATAGAGGGGCCACAGATATATCAGATCATTTTTCAGTTGTAGCTACAGTGAGAGTAAAAGGTAGATGGGACACAAGGAAAATAGAAGCAGCAAGTAAGAGAGAGGTGAAGGTTTATAAACTAAAAGAGGAGGCAGTTAGGGTAAGATATAAACAACTATTGGAGGATAGATGGGCTAGTGAGAGTATAGGCAATGGGGTCGAACATGTATGGGGCAGGTTTAAAAATGTAGTGTTAGTGTGTTCAACAGAAGTTTGTGGTTACAGGAAAGTGGGTGCGGGAGGGAAGAAGAGCGATTGGCGGAATGATGATGTAGAGAGAGTAGTAAGGGAGAAAAAGTTAGCATATGAGAGGTTTTTACAAAGTAGAAGTGATGCAAGGAGGGAAGAGTATATGGAGAAAAAAAAGAGAGGTTAAGAGAGTGGTGAAGCAATGTAAAAAGAGAGCAACTGAGAGAGTGGGTGAGATGTTATCAATAAATTTTGTTGAAATAAGAAAAAGTGAGATTAACAAGCTGAGGAAGCCTAGGGAACAAATGGATTTGCCAGTTAAAAATAGGAGAGGAGGGTTATTAAATGGAGAGTTAGAGGTATTGGGAAGATGGAGGGAATATTTTGAAGAATTGTTAAATATTGATGAAGATAGGGAAGCTGTGATTTTGTGTATAGGGCAAGGAGGAATAACATCTTGTAGGAGTGAGGAAGAGCCAGTTGTGAGTGTCGGGGAAGTTTGCGAGGCAGTGCATAGAATGAAAGGGGGTAAGGCAGCTGGGATTGATGGGATAAAGATAGAAATGTTAAAAGCAGGTGGGGATATAGTTTTGGAGTGGTTGGTGCTATTAGTTAATAAATGTATGGAAGAGGGTGCGTTACCTAGGGATTGGCAGAGAGCGTGTACAGAGAGTGCAAAAAATTAAAGGAGAAACTTTCGTTTTTCCTTTTGGGCCACCCCTTCTCAGTGGGATATGGCTGGTACGTTGAAAGAAGGAGAAAGAAGTCTGTTGAGTATACCTTGTAAAGTGTATGGTAGAGTTATTATTGAAAGAATTAAGAGTAAGACGGAGAGTAGGATAGCAGATGAACAAGGAGGCTTTAGGAAAGGTAGGGGGTGTGTGGACCAAGTGTTTACAGTGAAACATGTAAGTGAACAGTATTTAGATGAGGCTAAAGAGGCTATTGTGGCATTTATGGATTTGGAAAAGGCGTATGACAGGGTGGATAGGGGGGGCAATGTGGCAGATGTTGCAGGTGTATGGTGTAGGAGGTAGGTTGCTGAAAGCAGTGAAGTGTTTTTACGAGGATAGTGATGCTCAAGTTAGAGTATATAGGAGAGAGGGAGATTATTTCCAAGTAAAAGTAGGCCTTAGACAAGGATGTGTGATGTCACCGTGGTTGTTTAATATATTTAGAGATGGGGTTGTAAAAGAAGTGAATGTCTTGGCAAGAGGCATAGAGTTAAAAGATAAAGAACCAAACAAAGTGGGAGTTGTCACAGTTGCTTTTTGCTGATGACACTGTGCTTTTGGGAGATTCTGAAGAGAAGTTGCAGAGGTTGGTGGATGAATTTGGTAGGCTATGTAAAAGAAGAAAATTAAAAGTGAATACAGGAAAGAGTAAGGTTATGAGGAAAACGAAAAGATTAGGTGATGAA